TAAAACACCTTACCAATGCTTTCATCCCCTTTCAATAAAGAATTATACAATTTATTAATTCATAGTATAAAAACACAGAAATAATGAAGAGAGATAAGTTAGGGATAGGTAAAATAGATTTTTTTAATTTTATTTAAGGTCATAACCGTTTAAAACAAAGGTACATTATGTAAAAAATTTCCTGGTATATCCATTAAAAATATTTCTTTTTTTTTCTAAATCATTTCGTACTTTTTAGAAGGTAATTAGATTTGGCTTTGAATAATTATATTTTATTTAAAATCCAACTCCACTATACATCAATCTGTATTAGGCTAATTGCTTGTCATATTGTTTACTATATACCTGTCATCAACAGGTAGCGTACATCTGACGGCATTCTATTTCAACAAATTCATATTATGTTTTCTACTGAACAATTACAGTATTATATAAATCAATCTTATTCCGTGTCATCAAAATTACATTTGTCGTATTTCCTGTTATTAGACAAATGCAGTGTGTCAATCTCCACATAACGATTCATTTGTCTGTTACCTTATTGGTCATTAAGTTGTCATGACGATGGTTAAGTGTCGGATTCACAATGACCATTTGTATACGTAACAATATCAGCTGTTTATACAATGATATCAGCTGTTTGCACAATGATTAATTATAATACACACGACCTTTATAAAAAGATGTTTTCCTTTCGTAATGATAAATATAATGCAAACAATTACTACTAAAGAGTAGCATATTCAACTGAAGTTGAATATATGTTTCATAATGATGAATAATACATACAACGTTATTTGTGGATTTGTTATCCTTAAATGTTATTAAATTATAGTCTTTAATCTTACTTAATGAGTTTTGTCCTTGTGCAATGATAACTATTACACGACCTCAATTAAAGAGCTGCTGTGTTTTGTATTTCTAATTATACCGTCTTAATTATAAATGTGTTTGTCCCTATGTGTTAATTATTGGGATTTATTTGGTAATAAATAAATCCGTTTATCAGAGTACAAATGAATAGTGTTTTACACATTGAAAACGAAGGGAGTATCCTTCCTTGGCTTAATCTTTCAAAGCTAAATGGATACGAGCTGTCAACGGAAAAAAATCATCACCCACCCACCTTCTCACAACTTTACCTTGTCTGCTGCTGTTTTTATTTTTTATTGACAGGTGCATTCCTATGGAATTACAGACTTCTGGTCTTCTTGGAGTCAGCAAGTCCAAACCGTCATGGCTTCACCAACATCGTTTGATTCAGGTGACATTTCTTCAGAGTGTTGGTATTACGGACTATGGACATATGGTTTATTTTTTAAGACGGTTTGGAGGTTGCCACCAGGAATAATAGGTATCCACTATATATTTTGCACTTAATGACAGCTATTCAAAATGACGACTGATCACAGAGTCATTTTCGGATCTAGCTTGACAATTTTACATTTATCTGTTTGAGGCAATAGATCTTGTCATATCTATCTATTAGAGGTGACAGATTTTGTCATATCTATCTATTTGCGGTGACAGATTTTGTCATATTTATCTATTTGAGGTGGCTCGAACAGCCCAAATTGTGGGTGGCAACCTCTTGGTGACAAAGCCATGGTCACAATCGCCAAACACAGATAGGTATATCAGTTGTCGTTGTTGACAATTTATTGATGAATCTCATGAAAAAGGAATGATTAAATAAATGGAATTTATTTTTGACTTTGTTATCTCTGATAAGTATTATATATCATTTCGAACTGTCCTATTTCTTGTTTTGAACAATGAATTGATGAGAAATATTGATAAATAATCGGTCGTGGTAACATTTTCTTTAAAAAATAGAGACCAAACTGCATTCACTATATTGGTAGCCATTTACCAGGTTGTTCTCCAGAAGGAAAACCCTTCCCTGCACCTATCATGGTAAGTCAAAAACCCTATTAAAACAACAAGGTCATAACAAAGTGTAAACAAAACCGTACTTTGAACTCAAATTCGAAGAAACTTTGGCAAAAATATGAACAAAGCAAAGATTAACATGGAGAACCTTGAAAAGATGCCACAGAAAAAAGTGTTCCGGAAGGTAAAATCAAGTGTTTCTTCTGCTTCATTGACGGTACCCACCATGAAAAACTTGGTTCAATCCAGTAAGTGTTCTGTTATAAACAAAGAATACCGAAGTGTCAATAAACCGAGATGAGATCTCATAGTCAACAAATCCAAAGGAAAATGGAACGATTTACATGGCTACCATTTAAATGGTAACAGAAAATAAGTGTTCCGGAGGGTAAGCGTCTTCACGCTTCATCGACGACTCCTTCCATGCATAACTAGGTCAAATCAAAGCAATGTCACGTTCTCAAAGTAAGCCGCGGTGAAGTGACAATGAAACCAAACACAACAGGCATTGATGAGCATCATCAAAAACATCAACCATCATATCGCACAAAGATATAGGAAATAAACCAAGTAGATCATGATTGCGGCCATTAAACTTCCCTATAGTTTTTATCAACCTGATTATCATATTTATGCTAAAGTGTCTGTTTTAATTCTGTTATATAAGAGTACCGAAACAGACTGGTTGAAATAGCGGACATTTATTTACATAACTTCCTGTTCATCATTCTGCGGAAACACTTATATACATATTGAAAATTTACATTTGGATATGTCCACATTGATTTATTTTGTGTTCTTATATATTGTGTGTCAAGCCAAGGGTCTTCTTTAAATGCCATCTTTACACATTAAGTGAACATTCCGATCTGCTACTAGACTATAGATCATATGGTAATTTACTGGAGACGGTCAACCTGGGCCGAATGGTATAGGGAGTGTCCATGTTGTTTATTCGGGAACGTTGAATAAGATTTCCCTACTTACGAACGATTGGCTATTTGGGGACTTTGTGGCTTGTAAATCATTCTTTCTTTAGAACATGTGTCTTATTAGAAAAACAAATAAATAGTTAATTAAGGCGCATTAGTCTTTCACAGTGCATATTAATTAGGTGTGACCTCCTCACACGCAGTCATGTGAAACGTTTTATATCGGTAAACTTATATGATACAAATAAAAATAAATAAATCAAGGGAAAAATATGAACAACTACAACATATATTGTAGTAAATGGAGACTTTAGAAAAAAACTGTATGAGGAGAAAAGACCAGAGCCCGTATTAATGCCAACAGTTTCATGCTCAAGCCCAATTTCTTGTTTCGGTGATTAATTAATTGAAAATCACATTTGATAACATTTTTGGAAGAATATGGGAGAAAGTTCAAGCCGCATTCTATTTAAATCTTCAAACTTGACTTTCTGACCTGCCACATGATTTAAGAAAGTAACAACAAAGACGGTTTGATCACAAAATCCATGCTTGAGCATGAGATTGGTTTCATGAATATTGACCCAGGTGTTATTGAAAGGTTACATCTTCTGTTTCATTGACAACGTCCCCTTATTAGTATAGGTCACATATCACGTCCTCAAAGAGGGAACCAGACCAGAAACCACAAGGTACATTAATGAACATAATGCAATAATCACATGATGTTTTATATAGTTCACGACTTGTTTCCTGGATCGACTATACAACATGACCATGGTAATCACATGTGATTTTGTGAATCCTTACTTTACTGTAATATCTTTCGGTTTAAGTGCGGGTACATGTTTCTGTTTTAGTCTTTTCACATTTTACGTTTCTGTACAAGAACAAAGTGTTAATATCATTAATACAGGTATACATTTTCTTCTTTTTATAATTAGAATATAAGGATTCCTATACGTAATCTCTATAGGGTAAGCCTTGGCGCACTCGCCATCAACATCGCTGGTAGGACATACACCTTTCATCAGCTGTGGTCTGCTCATTTGTTTGTCTGTTGTTCTTTACCGGTTGTCTCTGTCTCCATATAATTAGCATCAATCAGCTACAGCGTTTCAGACCTAATGTAACAGTAGCTAAGATGATGAATTGGCTCTGTGAAGTCGTATGTTAATTTCGTGTCATTACAGGCTTGAGTGACTAATGTCGAACATAGTGTCCGTCGCTATTCCATTATGCTAAAGCTTACAAAATGATTCATTATAAATCATTGGCAGGCAATTTTAAACGTATTAATGTTAGCAATTAACAATGTGACAAATGTAGCTGAAGGACTGGGTCAGTGTTTTTGTATAATAGCATTTTCTGAACATTCTGCTTAGCAAAAATATATAGAGAATATGTGAAGTATGTACATTCTTTGTCTGCACGTTTATGAAATATGTATACATACATCTGTAAGTTGTTGTACATTTCCGCTAGCTCCTTATGTACAGCACCAAATAGCATATGCTTGTTGCACTTTAGAAGAAGAAAATATCTAAAAGCGAATGACGAGACACATTTAAGATCAGCAGGCCAGCGTTTGCGAACAGAAAATCTATTCCTTCTGAAAGACAGTGCGATGTCTCCTCCCATTATCGTCATGAATGGCGTCTGTGCTGGTCTGAGATACACGGGATTCAGTGGCAAACGGAAGACTTACGACTTTACTGGTATAGGAGGATAGCGTTTTATCATAGCAGGTGAAGCGAGAGGACTTCGACACGAATTTCAGGTATCCTATAATTCTACTGACTCGTAGATGGAGATGTCCGCTGCCTGGTGCTAAGGGGTCAAGCGATCTGACAGAATGTTGGTAACCAGTTGCGTATTTGTTGTCGGAATGATTGAGCACGAAAGATATTTGGATGTAATGGACTTGTGGATGATAGAGGATGTGACTTTAAGTGATCTAAATTACAAAACATGACAGAGGCAAGTGTGTAAACGTTTACGTCATGAGACATGGCAAGTAGAGTAAACTGTCTGCTTGGATGACCCGTGCTCCTTACACACAAAACGTAATAAAGGCAGAACAAAATGTGACAAGCGTCCCCGCTTATGATATTTAGCCAACATATATTAACCGCGTATGATCGATCTCTGTAGCGTGGCTGCCTCAACCCGGTGGTGAGTGTGTGACATTTCCTTATCGGATAAGCTAAATCCGCGTTTTGTCATCGTCTGTCCGAGTCAGACTACATTCAAAGCACGGCCTACCATTTGCATTCGATTTGATAACAGCGTCGACATAAGTCAAACAATCATGCCTATCATCCAACCAGGAGGCCTGCAGTATCTTACGTGTCAATTTCTTTCAATGAAGCAGCGTATAATTTATTCTTTTGAACAAATATTACCACTAGGTCCTTAGCACGCTTGAGTGCTAATCGGAATGTCAATGACGAGGTTGTCTGTACAGACGGGAAGGATAGTTCTGCAGGCTGGTGTTAATATTACATTCTTCCTTATGTGGGTTATCACTCATAAGTCACACAAGATGTTTTGAGAACCGTCTAGTTTTGCTATTGCCAGTCCTGTTCCCCGTTTGTGTAGATTTCTTAAGTCTATTTATAAGTTGCATCTGCAGTCTTAAGTACCTTCTTGGCTGCTATGGAAAGACACACACTTTACACTGACTTCCCTTAGTCCGCTAAAGGATTCCTTATAAAATCGTGTAACAAGGGAAAGTGTCGACTTAGCCACCGACTGATTGGACACACGTCGGCAGGAGGATGGATGAAACGAGCCAGTATTCAACTTTGGAAAAAACTAACAATATCTATGAAATGTTAAATTTGGTCATCTGCTCATTTCTATTGTGAGCCACATTTCTTGGAAATGTTTCTGGTTAGGTACTTAGCGTAAGGGTTGATGTCCAAAGAGCTGAAACTTTTTAAAAAGAGATGCATTTTGTGCTTTCGACTCTTGTGCTACTATTGGATATTATTGGATTCTTTCAATCAGACGGACGAGCAATCATGGTTGAGCCACCTCACAGATCCAGCCTGTGGAGGTTCCGCTACCCTACCCATGTCAACACCGAGGATGATCTACTTAACTGTGGCGGCTTTGAGGTAAGTTTTCCATTAAAACATATGTGTTTTCCTTATACAATACTCTTCTTAATTTCAAAGTTATCTGTCTTATATTTTGTTTGTAAGGGTAGCAGTTACCATGATGTTGATTAAATAGTAAAACAAAATTTCACTAGTATTTACATACAAAATTATTTTTGTCGAATGCAAGAAGCATAATCTAGTAAACCCCTTTTACCATTAACAATATTTCTCGTGATATCGTATAATGCTTAATCAAAGATATCGTGTAAAATTGGTTAATTAAATTAAAATTAAATGAAGTCGATTATAATTCAATAACGTGTTGTTATATTGCATTTCGTATATTTCTGCTCGAAACTTTAGATAATATGCGGTTGATGTTTAGTTTGATAGGAAATCACCCTTCTTGTCTTTAATCAAAACAAAATTGTGTTTCAAAATTCATTATTCAAAGAAATGCTTCCTTTTCTAAACATGTTTCGTTTTATTGTATATTTTTATGTCTACATACAAACATCCTAATTTGCCTATCGGTGCATTTTTCATGAATCTAATAAGTAAGGAAGCAATTAAAAATAAATAATAACATCAAGCCCTTACCTCAACTCAAGAATTTAACAAACATGTAAAACCTTCACTCATACATTAATACAGGCATGTTAATCACTTTGAATACATAATATGTGACAATAAGTAATGAAAATATATTATGTCATTAAAATAACTCCTTATCTAATTCAGAATATTACCTCAGTATGGGCCACATCATGAATTAACAAACACAATACAAATAATTTGAATATTTAGAATTTTTCGATTGACAGTACATTTAAATGACTTGATTGACATTATATCTAAATAACCTGACATTACCAAATTAATGAAGGCGCAATGAATCATGAATTCAGAACGATATACAATTAGCATGAAATCTAGCGCAATTGTCAAGATAGGTTAAAGATCCGTCTTCTCGTTTGTCCACTATTCTTGACTTAGTATAATATAAAGATAGGTCGTATGCCACTATTCCTGACTTAGTATAATGTAAAGATAGGTCGTATGCACTATTTCTGATTTAGTATAATATAAAGATAGGTCGTATGCCATTATTCCTGATTTAGTATAATATAAAGACAGGTCGTATGCCACTATTCCTGATTTAGTATAATATAAAGATAGGTCGTATGTCACTATTCCTGACCTAGTTGTAATATAAAGATAGGTCGTATGCCACTATTCCTGATTTAGTATAATATAAAGACAGGTCGTATGCCACTATTCCTGACTTAGAATAATATAAAGATAGGTCGTATGCCACTATTCCTGATTTAGTATAATATAAAGATAGGTCGTATGTCACTATTCCTGATTTAATATAATATAAAGATAGGTCGTATGCCCCTATTCCTGATTTAGTTTAATATAAAGATAGGTCGTATGCCACTATTCCTGATTTAATATAATATAAAGATAGGTCGTATGCCACTATTCCTGATTTAGTTTAATATAAAGATAGGTCGTATGCCACTATTCCTTGATTTAGTATAATATAAAGATAGGTCGTATGCCACTATTCCTGATTTAATATAATATAAAGATATGTCGTATGTCCACTATTCCTGACCTAGTTGTAATATAAAGATAGGTCATATGTCCATTATTCCTGACCTAGTTGTAATATGAAGATAGGTCGTATGTCCAATATTCCTGACCTAGTTGTAATATGAAGATAGGTCGTATGTCCAATATTCTTGACCTAGTTGTAATATGAAGATTGGTCGTATGTCCATTATTCCTGACCTAGTTGTAATATGAAGATAGGTCGTATGTTGAATATGCCCGTCCTAGTTGTAATATGAAGATGGGTCGTATGTCCAATATTCCTAACCTAGTTGTAATTTAAAGATAGGTCGTATGTCCAATATTCCTAACCTAGTTGTAATTTAAAGATAGGTCGGATGTCCAATATTCCTGACCTAGTTGTGATATGAAGATAGGTCGTATGTCCAATATTCCTGACCTAGTTGTAATGTAAAAATTGGTCGTATGTCCAATATTCCTGACCTAGTTGTAATGTAAAGATAGGTCGTATGTCCTAGTTGTAATGTAAAGATAGGTCGTATGTCCAATATTCCTAACCTAGTTGTAATTTAAAGATAGGTCGTATGTCCAATATTCCTGACCTAGTTGTAATGTAAAGATTGGTCGTATGTTTACTGTTCCTAACCTTGTTGTAATATAAAGATACGTCGTATTTCCATTATTCCTTGACGTCGCAGAAGGTTTGGTTATGCCGTATACCTGCAGTTCCTCATTTAACGTCATTTAGTTATATCCGTGTTGTGTTGATATAATCAATAAAAATATTCATTTATGCACACATATTAATTGTAATGGGTCTCTGTTCTTAATAAAAAAAAAGTTAACTATCATGTACAGATAGAGCAAATAAATGCTAATGTATCAACATATAATCCTTCTAAATGACGTCTATTACGTCCCACACTGCTGACAAACAAGTTAAAAGATGATTCTTTTCTCGATTGTTTTAAACATATTTATCACCTTGAAAGAAAACCTACTTAATTATATTGATAAAACAAAATAAGAAAGTAAATGCAATAATAATTGATAAATGAAGTAATAAATCAAAAGAATGACCAACAAAATATTGACTATTTTAAACCTCAATTTAAACAATAGATATATTATTAGGGAAAAACTACAAAGCCAACAGTATGACTTAAATTGAAAGAATGAGATATTACAAACCAGCGACAATGATGTAGACATGCACATGTATCGAACATAACACAACATGATACTTTTGGCTAGTACCTGCTTAATATGGGTCTCCACTTTAGGAAATCTTAGTCTACATTTTGGAAAATTGTTTCTGTTTACTGTGTGATGACAAAATCGTATTATAATTATCTTTTGTAAAGATATTAAAATGATAATGTTTACCAGTGAAATATTGAAAATTATTCCTTCTATAAAAGTGATTTTTTTCACCAGTGAAAAAGATGATATTTTTATTTTTATTGACAAATCAAAACACTGAATACAAACTACAATGGGAAAATTACAAGCTGCCCATGTGGTCAATTGCAAGTTAGCTGAACCATACGCAGGCCTTATGAAAGTCCACCCATGTTACTGTCCAGAATTATCAGATCTGTTACCTATCATCGGGGAACTATTCTCTGCGGGAAACACAACTTCGAATTCCACAGCTAACTTTCATTTTAAGGAAGCCAACAGACTATGTAGGTCAGCAATTCTATCTGTTGAATCGACGGAAACTCGTGTCAAATGAAACACGGTGTCAGCGTCTCCAAGTCCCAAGTTAGGCCAAGCGATTGACAGTAAGCAAAAGAGAACCAGGGTCATCACTGACAGTGATAGTAACAAAGCATAGCTTACAAAGGTGATGTTGATAATTGACCATCAGGATAAGTAGTGACACAACAACTTTCATTTCCCCCGCTTTGCGCCATTTTAGATTAGGTGCTTGTCAACAACGCGTAGTGATCTGAGTTGATGACCCGATTTAAAAAAAATACATTAAGATAGTAATTTGGCATGCTTTGAGTCAAGTACCTACTGAATTAAAATCACTTATTACAGAAATTAAAGGATGAGTTTTTACAATCAAGATCAAGTATTGTCAGCTTATTGTGTCGCTCAGGTTCCGGGTAGGTTTTCGTAAAAAAAATGTAACAAACAGAATATCTAACAGTGTCTTCAGAAATACCAAATGTTTTTCACTCGTGTGGCTAATATTCTATAGCTTTCACTCATGCTGCCCACAGGTGAAAGCTATCAAAATATTAGCCACACGAGTGAAATGTATTTGGAATTACAGAAGACACTATAAGATATCCTCTATCTTATTAAATGTGCCGAGACAGCGTTATTTTAGACGGCTTAGTCGTTATCTCGGGTCTCAGAAATATTAGTTTAGCTTGTTAGATTCCTGTAGAATTGGTGAAACTTTCCTCATTTGTCAGTTATATTGAATATTGAATATTGAATACCCTCCCTATTCCATACAGTAGTTACATTGCAATATCTGTGATATGGACGATAATTCTGTAATAATTATTTAAATAATGTAAATAGATGATAAAAATAACTCGATGTATCCTAGAGCAGCTTTTGGCGTAAATGTGTATCAATACAGACAGCAAAATATCATTTACCAGATAACAAACAAAAACATGGGTCTCGATCACTCCAACCGTAATCTATTTTTATAAGTGTCCTTCCTTCCTTCCTTATTCACTCAAATACTTAAATGTACATTCTTTCCTAGAATTTACGGTGAGCATCATGACGGGTGACTCATGTTGAGCAATAATGAGGAATAAGACATCATTCAGGAATGGCTGGTTTTACCTGTAAACATAAGTATAAATGACAATTAGCACTCAAAATCAATATCAGCACTAGTCTTTGGTAGCTCCTCAATTTCTTGTTTTGGTAGCTCCTCAGTCCCTTTCTTTGGTAGCTCCTCCATTTATTGTTTTGGTATCTACTCAGTCCCTTTCTTTGGTAACTCCTCAATTTCTTGGTTTGGTCGCTCCTCAGGCCCCTTCTTTGGTAACTCCTCAATTTCTTGTTTTGGTAGCTCCTTAGTCCCTTTCTTTGGTAGCTCCTCAATTTTTTGTTTTGGTAGCTCCTCAGTCCCTTTCTATGGTAGCTCCTCAATTTATTGTTTTGGTAGCTACTCAGTCCCTTTCTTTGGTAACTCCTCAATTTCTTGGTTTGGTCGCTCCTCAGTCCCTTTCTTTGGTAGCTCCCCAATTTCTTGTTTTGGTAGCCCCTCAGTCCCTTTCTTTGGTAGCTCCTCACTTTATTGTTTTGGTAGCTCCTCAGTCCCTTTCTTTGGTAGTCCCTCAATTTCTTGTTTTGGTAGCTCCTCATTCACTTTCTTTGGTAGCTCCTCAATTTCTTGTTTTGGTAGCTGCTCAGTCCCTTTCTTTGGTAGCTCCCCAATTTCTTGTTTTGGT